TAACGATACAATCTTCTCCAATGCAGCACAGGAATCAGTGAGAGAAAAGTATCAAATCGTGGAATGACATATTCTTGAAGATTTCGAAAAGGCTCAGAAAAGAATAGTGTTTACACGCTGGCTAAAGCGGATTAGTTCGAACGATGAACACCCAAAAATTTAATGCAAGGTGCGGCAGTACCTTTTCCATCACTATCATACAACCCGCTGGGTTTACCACTCTTTGGAAACTAACCGCAAAAAATAAATGAATAGTCCTAATGGGCAATAACTTCAGAACGAAGTGGTCACTTCGGCAGTAAACAAGCTGATCGTAACACTTTAAAACAACACGAGGCGTTCATGCAAGGGCAAGCAACCATGACGGAAATGTTTAAATTTTGTTCTTATTTGTGAATTCTTGTCCAGAAAAAAGAACGTACTGGGAAAGAACAGCATTTGTCGCCTGTACATGATAATATAACTTCAGCATTAACAATTTTGTAACACAGCAAGCGGTGTACCGACTACTCCCTCAGTTGCTAGTCTGATGAAAATGATTAATTTAGCTTCTCAATCCACCTAAAATATTTCAATTTTTTGAAACCTTTTAACAAAATATTGCATATTATATGCTTTCATAAATTTAACAATTTCAAAGCTACTACTATAATCAATTTTCTGACTTATTCTCGGAAGGCGGATTCAGACAATTTTTATTCAGATTTGGATGCTTCTATAAACTCCTCCATTCCTTCCTTTTATATACCGAATTATTTTTTGAATACGAGCTTTCATGTCTCTAATTTGACAGGATACAGAACCATCAAAGAAATTTTTCTGACAAAAGGATTTTTTTAGATTTGAGAAACGTTCCAAATTAGCCAACATAACTAAAGCAACAAGGGAAATTACAACAATCTTATAATTTCAAACAGCTAAGAAAGTGCTCGACGGTACATGCCAAGGCTCTGAAGTTTTAATATTCCGCTATCTCCGAAAGCTAAAGGCTTTAGAAAGTAAGCACCATTTAATATTTCCCCAAACAGCATTTCACCAGCAAAAAGTGTTGTTGTATAGCAACACTGAAACTTAAAATCCTGAAACTGAAACAAAGTCAAACATATTGCCTTCTAAAATTATTTGAACGATTACCGACCTAACCTACAGTGATCTGAATTAGTATCCTTTCAATAACTGTCTTAAGAAACAGCCATCTCGCTTAGTCTTGAGTAATTTTAGGACTACCATCAATCATAAAATATAGGGTTTTGGTTTAAATACAAATGATGACATCGTAAGCTTGGTCTAACGATATATTTCCTATGCGCAAGATTCAAACATTAGTTTCAGCTTCCTAAAAAATCTAACATGGAAGGTATAGCAAAAATGACTCCATGCACTTCATAAAACAAATGAAAAAAAATGAAAACATTCAGCCGTTTCTTAGTTCGGATTCAACCTAAACAACAACAAAGTTACCACGCAGAGAAACTTGAAGCAGTTTCACAGAAAGTTCATCTCTGTTGTTTTCATGCTAATTTTGTAATGAATGAAACAAATAAGTTTGCATGATGGTGCAAAATTATGTCTTTTCGCATTGTGATCGCATGCATTGTTGATATCTATTCGTCATTATCATATGAGGTTCATATTGTCCTACTATTTATTGAAATAACTATTAAATACCAACAGTGTCTCGAACCAGAAGTTATAAACAAAATGTTTTAGCTGTGTAATTTTGTGTCACTGTCTGTTTTTTCTCAATTAAGTTCGGCAGTTAAACAATAAAGTCATATCAAGCACTTCAATTAATGACTGCAAAACTGTGTGCAAGATGAACGATGACCAAAAAAAAGCTGTACTGGAAACATATTTTTAAGCTTTTCTTAGACTTCGCAGAAAACAAATTTTTGAAATTCCTTCTACAGAGTGAACAACGCCGTGGGAAACGATGAACATGCAAAAAAAAAACAATTTTGTAGAAGCGAAAAATTGTAGGTATTGAGATGTAATATGCACTTGCAAACGACAAACAGACACGCAGACATTACCTATCATACTTAGTACCTTTCATTTTAAATCAAAATTATGAGAAATTTTTGCAAAAAAAGTCCTGACAGAACAAGTGATTAAATTTAAAACATCATTCCAAAACTCCATTTAAGGATCTCATTATCAATTTAACACGAAAACAGTTAAGCTTATAGAAGCACAGCAGCAAAGATATATATCTTAGAAGCCTCAATCAAAATGAGAAAAGAGTTCTGTTATGAGCTAGCAAAGACTAGCAGATAGCCTGAACCATCATAATCGAATAAACAGGTAGATAGTGGATGGTACAATGATTGACTTTCGAAAAGTCATGCACGATTGCTTCCATGATGCAACGGGAAACATTCTGAATTGACTGGATGGCTGCCATAGCAAGCCTTTTTCGAGAGGCTATGTACAACCGTACCATGCGTACAAGGATCCGATAGAATCCTAAGAAGCGCAAATCTAACAACTGGACATTCCTAGTGATATAGAAAAAGCAACGACTTCAGAAAGCTGCTCTAAATTAATCGTCACTGCAAAGAAATCATCTCAAGAAACCGGGATTACTCAAGTTTCAGTTTTTATAGCTGGAAGGGAAGAGAAAGAGAGAAACATACTCGCGCTACTGGTTGTCATCCAATACACATTAATATTGCGCAGTATCCACGTCTGAATGTCTTCCAAAGCTACTGGTCTAATCGTCCTTTCTCGCCTCCCGTTTTTTCTCTGATAAACTGAAAGCTTGTCTGTCCAGAACTTTACGCCTGTAAACAAACTACAATCGTCAGTTCACTTCCAAAACTTTCCTCGACTGAATTTGCTTGAATAATATGTATCGAACGAAATACACTTATTTGGTCAGTAAGGAAAGCGGCAGTGATTGTTAGGAATGGCGGCAACAAATACTGAACCACAATATATTGGTTTAGTAATATTGACACTGCGATCCAGTAAGCAAAATAATCAAAAAACTCTGAATAGTTTTATGAAATTATCTAACTGCGTTATCTTCTTTTTTGGAGAAAAACAATTCTGAAAAGCTCGAACCTCTTTAAGAACGAATGTCTTAAGAATTTGCTCTCCTCACAAGTTACTCTCTCGACAGACGGGTCCCATAGTAATCTATCTAGTAACATCCTTTGTGACAACCAACTCCTGCATTTCAAAGTGAAGGATACTAGCAAACACTTACAGGATGAATCTAGTAATGAAGAACTACGCCACTACCCTGCTCAACATCACTATTTCTCGGAACCCATATCCACCGATCATTTTGCTAAAAAGTGTCGTCTAGCCGCAAAATGCCACGAAGCATTGCAGACGAAAGACGAGATAAAAATCAGTGAAAATAGTGGCTTCCACATAGGGACGTTGTTTCGGTGGGTAAACAGCTCCGGAAGACGGGGTCGTGCAAATACATTAGTATTTCCTGGTAGTAACAGATGATGGGATGTGTGCAACAGAAAGGATTTTGATGTGACGCTTATTGTTTCTTGTCCTTTTGCCGAATTGGTTTTGTTAGGAGTTTGGAAGGTATACTGTTCGTCGTTCTTTGACTATGTTATCCTCTGACAGATAAAAATTTGTACAGGAAGTTGACGAGATAGTTTTTATGAGATTATAAGACTAGCTTTTAACTTTTAGAGTTCCAGGTTGTCATCTCTATTTTCCTACATTACCCTTCCTTATTTTTCCTACATTACCCTTCCTGAGCGGTATCACAAATGAGATGTTTTTTTTTTTTTTTATCTCAAATGAGATACCGCTCAGGAAAGGTAATGTAGGAAAATAAAGACGAGTGGTGCAAACATGGGCCTGCCACATTGATGGTTTGTTTTAGATGGAGGCAATGTTATTGATTATACCAGTAAAAACATTTGGTTCGCATGGAGCCAGTATTATCATGCTTTGGATTACATTTTCATATATTTATAATTCCATAATTTCTGGCGGATTAGTAGAGAGTAACATGAAAAGGTATACTACCTGATGATTTTTCATATTTGTTCGACCACAAAACGGAACTTTTCATTATTGCATATGATCATCCAATGGCTCTATGAAATTACTTGTGCTGGTTGCTATATGTAGCTGTTATTTACCACTTTTAAAGCTATGAAAGTAAGGCATCGCGTGAGAGTAGGATTATGGTTGGTGGTTGATGGTGTTGGGGAAAAAATGCCTAAAAGTTGCACAGTGTTCACTAATCATGATTTACGAAAGAAACATGCGAAATTCTGGTTAAGGGGTGTCGCAAATATACCCGGAATTAGCTCCTCTTTCTCCATCTTGCACTGTTTGTGATGAAAAATTTAGTTACATTCATATTTTCAAGCTTTATTCAGTCAGGAAATTTTATTTGTTTGAATCCAGTATTGGTCGAATACAGTTATGCTTATTAAAAACTTTGCTGAAAATGTATGATACCGTTTAAAGAAGAATTATATACATTAGTTCGAATTGTTAGAAATCTCCATACTTCGATACCTTGTAGCGATTGCTACACAATATTGGGGATTCATTTGTTGGAAACTGGAGAGTAAATTCCAAATGTGATAATCACTAGTTGAATTTGATATAATACGACACAACACATTTTTGCGTACTAATTCGGTTGGTGTGAAGGAACGCAAATTTTCAGACCGGGGTCCAATGATTGGGTTTTTATACACGCAAGCAGGAAAGGGTGTGCAATGGTAGCGGCGCTCTTTTGAAGTTTACGGTGATTAGTCTCGGCATTTGTGTTTCTAGTATGTCGGTAAATTATGACAAGAGTGGACTGCATGTCAGACCTACAGCTCGCGAAATCCTAGCTTGTGTTTTTACTAGCCCGAATTTATTGAACGAGCTCATCTACAAAACAAATAGAATTAGGGAGATAGAGTACAGTAACATAATTAGACGATGTATTTGACAATTTACTAGGTTTTAAGCTGCAGTAACTTCAGCTGCTTGTCGGCCTCACAGTTTGGTGGAAACATATGGCCGAAAATCCTCTAAATTTTATTAATTATGGAAAAAATGAGGCAGTGTGGCAACAGCAGCCTGAAGAAAATGATTCGATAACATCTCTTAGTGGCCAAAAGTTAGTTATTTAATCAGTTGAATTGAAAATCTCTTAGTAGGCTAATATCGAGTTAGGGCCATGATTTCGATACCTTCATACATACTATTACCGCTTATCTTTGGCGTGTTGCTTGGTTAAACGAACCTTGAAATGTTACTCTTTAATAAAAGAAGAATTATTTGATTTGCCTTGGCCATTGTAATTTATTTAAATTCTTTGGGCATTACTTTTCCATTCTTACTTCACTATCCTAATTAAATCGCAATGAAGCATTAAATTTTTAGGCATGAGTCTTTTTGATTCGAATTTAATCAAAGATTCCCTCTGTTGCAGCATGCAAAGTACAGCATGGACGACAAAAATTCTACCCTCGAACAATTCTATGTCCAGTCAAGGTTTCGTTTTTATTCCTGTTTGCAGATATATAAGGATTTTGTTTGACCTGAAGATGAGTTAAAATTATTGGATTTATGCAACTCTTTTCCATTACGTCATTTATGCTCTTAGAAATCCATATTTTTAGGTTACTTTTTTGACAATATTGCAGTTGGCAGCAGTGTAAATGTGTTATCATACTTACAACAGCATCCGAATTCATTTCCAATCAAGGTCCACAAATTGTTCGAAATTTTTGCCTTATAGGAGCTACTATTTTATTTTCTTTTTGTAATGTCGAGGAATGTGAATTCTGCAAATACCGTTTTTCACACTCAACTGTTTAGTATTTGTGTCTTATATTGTTCAAATTGCTAATTTTGAGATGTAGTGCTTGAACTTGGCCATTATATCCTTCTTTCACACTTTTATAAAAATTGGGCTATTAAGGTTTGTGTTCTGATATTTGGCTTTGTTATCATTGATACTCAAACTTATTACTTTGTTTAGAACAGCGTGCAGTCAGTGTTTCACGATGCGAGTACAACAGCATTAATTTACAATTATAAACCATCATGCAGTATGACGCATCATCAAGTGAACAGTGTTCGGACTAATCCATTTGGGCAGAATGATACTGCTTTTCAGCCTCAGTTGCTTCCGAATTTTTCAACAGCACCGTTTTCGTCCACGATTCAGCAAGTGGACGCTTCTGCTCCGATATCAGCAATTCCTCCACAGACGTCTTCTTTTCCCTGTCTGCCTGACCAAGATACCAATCCGGATTCAGTTGTTACCGGCGCGCAATATCTACCTCCAGCTTCTGCTGAGCTCCTAACTAAAGTTGCTTATAGGAGTAATGCAAGAAACGAAATTGGTTTACATCACAGTTTTCCAATTCTTAACAAACATTCACAGCCACAACTGTTGAACGATCATTATCTGATGAATGGAAATTATCCCGGTGGAGTGGGGAGTTTGCAACAAGAATTTGCTCGAATGGTGATAGAATTTTTTTTGCACTGAAATCTCGAATAACACCATAAGCAGTATCTGAATTTTTTTGGTGTAGACGCATAGATTCAGTTATGCAAAAGATCAAGGGTTATTGTACGTATGGAGATCGTACTAAATTTATTTATTAACATATGAGATTACGATTTACTGATGATAATGTGAAAAAATGCTCGCAAAATTTTGCCTTGTGGGGTTTGACAACTGTAAACAATAAACAATCTCATTATAATGGTTCTATCTGGGATCTAATCTTTATATAGGTGTCAGTTTTATAATGCTGTGGAGTTGGGCTAAATACTATGTTAAGAATATTTTCATGTTTTTCCTCAATTAGCTCTGAAGCAATTAGGTTGTTATAGCAGTTCTTAAGGGTTTATTGAGAAGCTGTCGCTTTTTTTTCACACTTATCTGTGAAGGGAAGTTGTAGAATTATGGGATGCAGTCGACGAGATATGTCGATTTGATGCAGGAAAGGGATTTAATGAAATATGGAACTGATGACGAGGAGATTGCTCTTCCACCAACTGTTTGCAATCCTGATGCCCGATGCAATCCTAGGTACAATTTTTCCGGAATGTGAAAAGTGAAGTTTCTCCCGGTATATAGGAGCTTTGACATTTTATGCGATAATTTCATCAGCAAGCAAATGTGAGACTATCATACCGTCATTATTAATTTTATTAAAAGTGTACTATATCGTCATGTCTGAAAATCTCTAAATTTCTAATGGTAATTTGACAAGCTAACGTGGGGTTAGGTAGCCAACAACGCAAAAGGACTAAGGGAGACAACATTATAATTTGATAGACCTTTCTCCCCTCAATATTGTCTTATGGCTTCCATGCTCTGAAAAGATGCTAGAAATGAATTTTAAAAGGGGAAATATGTTAGTCGTAATTCTTTAATATACTTCAGCATATTTCGTTGCACACTAAGCTCGGTACCTCAAACTCAAGAACTGTTAAAAAAATCGCGTTTACCATTTGGACTCACCTTGCAACCATTTAGAGACATGAAGGTTTGGCTTTCTTTTTTAACGTAGCTGAAACAATTTATTTAATAAATAATTAAGTTAAGAACGATTGTATACAGTTGCTCAATAGCAAGCTGTTAATGTGGTGAGGAGTTTTTTGCAAATCCTAAATTAGAAGAGTAATATGGTTTGATTTATGTAGGTTCCAATGGACGGAAATGAGTCGGCAAATTAAAATTACTGTTGATGAAAAAGTTAGCATCAATATAACAAAGTTGGTAATATACATCTGTGCACTTCCATGAGCTGTATACCTTTCATTAGAAGCAAAATTGTCAAATATCAAATTATTTTGAATTTGTGCAGAATCTCAACATCATCCAAACATCGTCTATTGTTCGATGTCGATATTGTCGCGCTTATATTAATCCTTATATTTATCTGCCAGATTCTCTTCACTGGAAGTGCAATATTTGCTATCGCGTTAATGACTGTGAGTTTATAATTTTTTAAATTTGTCGAATTATTTTATGAGTCATATAAGCTTTGGATTTTTCCAACGCAACTTATTTTCTTGATGAAAGCGAATGAAATCATTTCAGTACCGGATGATTTCAATTGGGATCCTGCTACAAAATCATTTGGTGAACCGACTCATCGTCCAGAAATTAAAAACTCAACCGTCGAATTTATTGCTCCTTCTGAATATATGGTAATGCAATGTTTTGTACAGTTAGATCCGTTATAATTTGATCTATTGAAGCAGTTTTTAATCCTGATACTGTCAGGTTTATATTAGCTTCTAAGGCATAAGTTATTCATTCTCTTCATTATAGTTGCGTCCGCCACAACCGGCAGTTTATGTTTTTGTAATGGACATCAGTCAAAATGCGGTTGAGACCGGTTCGTTTCAATACTTTTAACCTCTTAAGAGGGAATAAAGGGATTTTATTTTATTTGCAACTCAAACTATAAACGAACTTTGGTGAAGCGAGACAAGTTAATGTTGTTGCGGCCAACTGGTTGGGAGTTTTAGAAGAAATTGTGATAAATATTTACCGTTTAGGTTATCTTTATACTTTCACTGAACAGCTTTTGATTGCTTTGGAACAACTACCAGGCGACGAGCGTACCATGCTTGGCTTTATCGGTGTAGATTCGGCTGTTCACTTCTTCCAGTTTCGAGAGAAATCAAGTCCACAGCAGCTTATAGTTGAAGAATATAATAGTAAGTGAAGTTAAAAACACGATTTCAGTGTAAATTTGTTGAAGATCTAGGTTTAGCTCCTACTTTTATGGATGCATTTTACTTCAATAACTGTTTTGTTGAGCTTATGATCATAGTACACACAAGTATAACGACATCACTGACCTGAATTACTGTGAATGATAATGTTTCTGAATCATGATAGGTGTCAAGACGTCTTTATATAAATAAGAATATTACGACATGCATCAACTGCTTTGATGAATGCTGTTTTAGGTGTCGGCGTAAAAGAGTTTTGTTTACTAACGCCAAATGTAGAGCTTTCTGTTTTTTGATTTTTGATCAGTTCGAACTATATCGTTCACTTTATGGCTTCAAATAGTGTTTTTTTTTTTTTTTTAGATATTTTTCTTCCAGTCAACTATGGATTGTTGGTAAATCTTCGCAAAAACGTTGATGTAAGTTTCCGTATTTCTGATATTAAACTCTTTATTATATTCAAGTTGTAGCTCCAACTTAAATGAGTTTTTTGCAGGTGATACGTTTGTTTATACAAAGTTTACCTGCTCTCTATGAATCAAATTCCTCAACTTCATGCTGCCTGGGTGCGGCATTAACTGCGGCACATCAGCTTATTGTTAGTTTTTGTGCACTTTTTGAAGTTTTTAAAGTTCGATTCTTAAACGTACAAATTTGTTTTTTAGCAAAAGAATTTTAAACTCACTGCTGCACTGCTTTCACGGTTCTCCTGCTTATTCATTTTCTTTGTTTAGACTCAATTATTTAGGCTGATATTGGTGGGAGAATTACCGTGTTGTTGACAATGATTCCTGATTTGGGGCCAGGAGCACTCAAAAGTCGAGAGGATCCAAATCAGCGAGCGGCCTCTGTTGGTTTCCTTCATTATGTATCGTGTATCGATCAAATTTTGTAGTTTTGGACTACATTTCTTTTAAATAATATCCTACCCATATTATGGATTTGTTACAGGAAGTACCGAATTTGTGTCCCGCAAATGATTATTATAAGCGTTTAGCGCTTGAATGTACTGGCCATCAAATTGCTGTTGATTTATTTTTAATGAATAGTCAATATTCTGATTTATCAACCTTAGGCAAGTTTTATGTTATAATTTTTCTCGTGATAAAACTTCATAAAATGTTCATTAATTCCCTGAATATGTATCTTGTAGTCAACAGCTTTTTGTAGTTTTAAACTATACAATTACTTTTAAATAATATTCTCCCATATATGTGTTGACCGTTGTCAATGGAAAATAGCATTGTTCAAATCTTAACCAAGCATCATGCAAAAGAAAAAAAAATTGTATCAAGCGTCATAAAGAACATTAGTTGGAAGACTAGTACTAAAAAAGCAGAATTGTATAAGCATAATTTCATTTTTGCAAGATATATTGCTTTTCATAAATTTTGTTGAAGTGCAATTCAGCTTGTTCAAGTTATCTTTCTATTAGCAATATCACTTCAGCTGATATGTCGAAGTTTAGCACAGGATGTGTCTTTCACTTCCCAAATTATCATATAAATCATGATCACCTGCAAGTCAAGAGATTCCAAAAGCAGTTAAATCGATATTTGATTCGCAAAATTGGATTTGAAGCAGTGTTGAGGATTCGATGTACAAAAGGTCTTTTTTTGGACACTCACTGCTTATTCATAATTTTTGCCACATTTTTTTTTAACTCTTTTAATTTTTATAGGCTTGTCTTTGCATACATTTTACGGGAATTTTTTTGTCCGCTCGACAGATCTTTTGGCAATGGCCAATGTAAATCCGGATTCTGCAATTGCTGCGCAAGTGCAAATGGAAGAGAACCTTATTGGTATTAATACGGCATGTTTCCAAGCTGCCGTTTTGTACACATCAAGTCGAGGTGAATTATATTTGAGCATCTGACCACTAATTCTTATTCTTAGAATCACCATTGTTGTTATTGTGACGTTGGATTATTTTTGCAAATGGTCCTTCGTCAATAACGTGTTTTTTCGTACAGGGTCAAAATTGTTGGATTACTGTTTGTAAAATGAATTAAGTTTTAGTGAAAAATCATTTTAGTTAATCTTTCTTTTATTCTTTTATTCGTACTCGTTAATTTTTCTTTCATTCATTTCTTTTATGTTTTAGGTGACAGACGAATACGTATTCATACGCTTTGTTTGCCGGTGACGAAAGATTTATCTGCTATCTTCAGTCATTTTGATGTGAAATGTGCTATATCGCTCCTTTCAAAAATGGGTAATGATTTTTGAATGCTAGATAATAAATTATCCACAATTAGTTTAGAGATATCATAGGAAATCGTTCTTGCATTAGCCTCAGCCGTAATGGCAAAGCATGTGGCATATGCAATTTCAATTTCTCATTTGAAATATGTCATACTACATCATCTGTAAAGGGCGATCATATGTTAGGCAATAGTTGATTCCACTTAGAAGACCAATAAAATTCATTTAGCCTGATAAAGAACTGAAGATGTGGCAAAATGAAACTGTGTATTCATCGCGTATATTCTAAAATGTTTAGCAGTTGAACGCACCCTTGTGGGTGCAAGTTTGACAGATTCCCGTGAAGCAATGGTGAATACTGTCGTTGATGTATTTGGTGCTTATAACTCTGCTGTTTCCCGTATAAGTCGTACAAGCTCTATGTTATCACCAATTACTTCGATGCGTTTGTTACCACTCTATGTATTGGGCATGCTTAAACATGTTAGTTATTGCACAGCTCTGATTCAAGAACTGGTTATTATTGCTATGTGTTTTGCGGCTTTCATATGAAATTGGTCAAAAAAACCGAAAGTAGAACATGTAAAAAAATTGCTTTGATGGCTAAAACGTCCTTCAAGATCCTTATCCTCCTTCAAGATTCCCATGTAACCGGCTTTCGTACACTCTTTTACTGGAAGACATGTTCTGCTTAAGAATAATTGCAGTAATGGTGATAAGCTGTAGCACCTGTGGATGCACAGCATATGTCAATTGTTTTGGGCTGTAATCTCCAATTTATCTTATGAATTAAGAGCTCTTCGTTTATTTAATGTTTAAAAATGTTTTTCAGTATTCCTAAATTTAGTATGTGTGGCAGCATTTATTTTAGTTTTACGTTATTTTTTGTCTTTTTAGCGAGCATTCGTCGCAGGGCAGTCTGTTAGATTAGACAATCGTGTGGCTGCTCTTCTTCTCTTTCGCAGTGCTCCCTTAGAAGTGATCGATTTAGAGTTGTACCCTGCTTTATATAAACTCAATCATTTTGTTGAGGTATCTTTTTTTTTTATTTTGTTGGAACTGCATAATTTTCATAAGTTTTTTAATTGAAATTATAAAAAAGAGAATCTAAATAAGTTTTCTCAAATTTAGACTAGAAAATTTTTTGATTTTGTGAACTTCTGAAAACGTTAGTGTCTTACTAGTTGTTTATTTGCTAGTTAGATAAAAGCGTTGTTTGTGGAAGAGAACAGTTATCTCTTTCAATTAAAAATGTACTGGAAAAGCAAAATACAAGTTATTACTGGAAAAGCAAAATACAAGTCATTAACTATCGATTATGGGTTTCTTATCAATTTGCTTTGGAACAGTTGGGATTGAATTGATTTCTATCTCTAGCAATGAGGTTTTGCTGTACTTTGGAAAGAATTATGTGCTCTTTGTAGTGATTTTTTATTTTTTTACAGAATGAAGCTGACCCGCCAAGGTTACATCTCTCTTTCGAGCATATAAATCGAGATGGTGTATATTTACTAGATACAGGCTCATGTGTTTACATATACATTTCATCAAATGTTGAGTCCAGCATTATAAAACGTTTATTTGATGTGAATACGTTCGAAAAAATTGATGATGAAGCAAGTTTATTTAGTATTTCAATCAAAAAATGGTAGCAGAAGCTTTTTCGCCTTTTGGTCTTTTTTCCATCACTATTGACTTAGTTGTTGCAATGCCTTTAAAATCCGTCAGGATATTATCTTTGCCTGTAGCTTTGTAATATACACTTTTTTGTTACAGAGTCCATTTGAAGCTCTTGACAATCCATTCAGTAGTAGGGTACACAATTTTCTCCGTAAGCTTTCTGTTTATCGAACTGTGTTTGCTCCAGTGATATTAATACGGTAACGTTTAATTTTCGCTAAAAATTCTGCTTTTATACTTTTCTGTTTATTCTTTCTCCTTTCTCCGAGAGTATGAACTTTTTCTGACATCAAAATGCTCAGATTTTTCTTCAAATCAAGATTCTAGGTCAATTTTCATTTACACTCGGAATTATGAAATAGTTTTTAAAGTTTTTTAAAAAAATAATCGTTATTAATTTAATCGTTATAATCGTTAAAATAGTTTTTAAAGTAAAGCTTGTCGAAAGTTTTTTAAAAAAATAATCGTAAAATTTATCCATATTTGACTGGAAACTTAGGCTCTCCACTCACCAATGATAAAGGGAATTTGATCAAATTGTTATGTGCTAATTTTGATGAATATCTCAAGTTAAATGTAGTGAATTTAATTGAGAACATTTCCAGAGAGGATAGCCCCATACGCAGTTTGTTCTCTGGACGTCTGATTGATGATCGCACAGAATCATCCCACAGCTATATCGAATTTCTGAGTCATATTCGACAAGAAATGCGGAAGTAGTCAAAATTAGTATGTTTTCTCTGCATGTTTTTAATTGATTTCCATTGTTCCTATCCGATTACATTGGATAATTTGTTACGAATTGATTTTGAAAATGTAACTCATTTACAGACTATGTTATGTTAGTCGTTAAATTTGGATTTTCCCACTTTCGAATGTCAATTTTTAACTAGGATTTAGGGAAAGCTGATAATTACAAGTAGGAGAGTAATGTGAATATACGTTAATGAATGTTACAACCCGTTGCGTTTACTTAAGGCTCTGTTTACCCTCTTGAAATTTTTAAACCATAAAGCGCATCTCCAATGAGAGTTATATGATAGGGAAACCTTTATTTATTCTGAGCATTGCCAGTTTTACACCTAGAGTCTACGGTTTAGTCACGTGAGCACTTGGTATTGTTTGTTAGACGTTATCAATTTCTAAAAAACTTTTCTCACTTTCGGTTACCTTTTATGTTTTTCGATTCTCTATGCAGTTTTGGTCAGTCTAGCACTTTTACTATTAATACCATTCATTTCTCTTTCTGCTTTTTCAGTTTTTGTTTTTATTTCCTTTTTAAGATATTATCAATTTGGCCAGCAGGGAGCAGCCTTAAGAAACTGATGGTCTAGAAGATGAACTAAGTTTCCTATATCTATAGAAAATTTTATTAAAAAATGATCATCGTTTCGATGTAAAACTCACTTTTATTCTATGAACGTAAAAACTTTAATCAAACAAAGTAAAAACTTTAATCAAACAACAAAACTGCTTCTTCGTATAGCCTTTTCGTCAGAAATAACTGCAGTGGAGAGGAGTTCCCCAATTTTTCATTTATTTGTAAATGGGGAAATTATGCAACTGATGTAATGAAAGTGAGTGAGGATAACGGAAATGTTTTTGTTCTACCGTTTGTTATACAGTAATGAGGACACTTTAATTAGAAAATGATGAAATAGCTTAACATAACACGTATTATTGCTTTGGATTTATGTGTTAAACGCTGTTTATTTTGTTGACATAATAATCTGGCCTTATATCAATACTGTTGCAGACTATTCCAAACATAAATGCAATACGGATTTCAATCTTTTTAATTTTAATTACGAAAAAGAAAACTTTAATGCATGTTCATTTGCTGAAAATGGACTTGAAGAGTTGCTTCTGGTATTTATTCTTTTTGGAAGTTTTTTGTCGATTTTTATAATGAATTTAGCGGACAAATGCTTGTTTGGCGATTACAGTTCCTTTGACTAATATCAAAAGCGCAGTTAGAAAAGCTAGAACAATTCCGTGTTTCATAAATAAATTTTGTCTTACAAAAAATTGAAAATGACTGTAAAGTATTTGATTTATTCAGTGAAAGTTTCAATATTCAAATCCTAATCTTGGTGTATGTATTTTCCTTATTATATCAAAATTGATTGTAGGTAACTGCCGACGGATTTCTCAGTTGAAGTTTTTGAATAACAAGAAATTAACGGTTTGTTTTGATTTTGTTATGTAAATATATAACATGATTTTTAGTATAAGAATATGGATTTATAATGGGAGAGAAGATAGATCGAAGACACTGCTGCGAAGGTGGGTAGTTGTGGCTCAGGACCTTTATTAAGTGAGAGTCCAAAATCTCGTGTGATAGATTATGTGGAAGGTAATGTGAACTTCTTACTGTTAACGGTGATATTTTCCTGCTTTTTTCTTTTTGTTGTGATTATGCTCTCCCTTCACAATATGCGAAAGTTCTTATCCAGAACTTCTCCTTAGACCTACAAATAACGTATTTAATTATTTAAGTGATTGCGAATAATTACTGTAACGTTTTCGTGGCAGCCATTTGGCCATTCAGTGTGGTATGTTTTCTGGTGATAAATTGAACATCAATCTCTCCCGTGTAATTTATTTGGTGAATGTGATGGTGATTTGGATCTTTTAACTTTGGCACACTGACACTTGCCAGTGCTCGTTGAGTTGGCTAAAATTTGCGAAGCATAAACAGACACCCTTCATCCTGGTTATGTTGAAGCTTATGAGATTTGTGAATTGAGTATGCGGCAGTTTATGGATGATCAAGTCGCGGTGATTAACGATTCTATTCCGTAAGTAATTCTCTACGAATTTGATGTTATATCCTGCGTGTTTGGAAATAACATCTTAACTTACAGAAGAAGTTCTTAGCGAATATATTGAGTAATTTTTCAGAATATAATCGATCCCTTGTGCAGTAGTTACGTCAAAAATTAAGGAGAAGTTCGCATCATAGGTGCTTTGGACTTAAATTTGTCGGCTGACTGTTGATTAATGATTCGTATTCGGTCAACTTTCATTACCCTACTGTCTGAATCGTTCGAGCATAATGATCATTATCTACAAAATGATCAATCATTAACTTTAATATGACTTCAGCAAACTTGCGGATGAATGATGAGTGTTATCCTTTGGGTCAGATTATAACTCCCTTCTCCGTCCCTTGAACTTCAAAATTTTGTCTCATTTTCGATGTTTTCACGAACCAATCGTATCATTCAAAATGAATGCATAAGAGGTTTGTCGATTCAAATCTTTTAAAAAATTTTCGTTATAGCAACCATTTATATTTCAGTGCATTCATGGGGACTTGATAATACTTTTGAATAATGGTATACACTGTTTTTTTGTATTGTATTGTATGGAATATTTTTTAAAAAGAAATCTTCAACAATCCTCAGAATTCTAATGAGTTTTAATGCCACAATCACTGTCGAATGCAAGTACCGACCTTGAACTTTCGCATTGTTTTGCACACTGCAACATTTCATATTTTCGAGAAATGAAATTGTTTACTGCCCATGAAGGTAGTTATCAGCATATTCTGAATCATCAGTTGTATTCCTTATCATCTGCTATAATGTGGTAAGTGGGTTCTCAAGAGAAACAAAGTGAGTGTTATTTGCGTATCTCCTGCTGTGTCAAAACCTAGTTGGTGGTGACCGGTTATATTTCAATCTAATTAATTTGAAAGTAATAAAATTGATTGGAGCAAATAAATTAGGTGTTTAATGACTGTCTAAAACCACTTCGCTTGCTGGGGCATTTAATTGATATATTCCAACTTGACCTAAAGTTCGGATTCAATAAACATAGAGCTCAACACTATATAAAGGTAAATCATTACTGCTTGCATTAGATACATTTGCTAAGGACGTTGGCTGTGGGTAATGATAAGATGATAAGATACAATCCATAAAAGAGTAAAGCGACTCGGTTCTTCTTTGAAAATGCTAAGAATAACGTAATTTAGTGATATTTTAGTACTGGTGCAGTGACTTGAAGTAAACATTGCCAGTGACACAGAGAGTTATTTCTTGATTAATCTACGGAGATTATCATGTGAAGAATCGGGTCCGTTAATCAAGTAGCACTGTGCTGCAAGTTCAAAAAAACGATTTTCACCAGAACCAGACTGATTGATGGCTCAGGGCTGTCGTTTGCGAAAAGGGAACGATTTATGAGGGCGAATCCGGTGCATTTATGAAATTCGCCGAAGATTTATGACGACAGCTCGGAATGGTGTTCCATTTCGTTCTATTAATGTTTTGAAATGAAAACTATTGAGAAAGCCACAAGCTCAAAGTTAGGGCATAGCTATTCACATAGCTATTTTACTATATATGAACATTTAATATTCTAAAAGTTTTTAGTCTTATATAAGGATTAGTTTGAAATTTTTACAGAAGAAAAGACAATGGATGTGACATCAAAGTGCTAGTTTTATTTCTTGGATTAGCAGATGAAAAACGGTTGAAGGAATTGGTGCACACCCCAAATCATTGACATATTTGACATCTTATCGAGTGAGTTGTGATTGATTTCCAGATGTGATTGTTTGGTTCTAAATGTCTGTAAAGTCAGGGTGATTCATTAGTTCCTTTGGTTTGTCACCACGGTGTTTGCCTACTGATGTTTCGTGCACCTCGCTTTCTATACTTCTCTCTGCATATGTATGTGTGTATATCTGTCTGTCTGTTTACTTCTGAATTTCAAACTTGACATTGTTAAGATGATATATTAGAAATCAAAGTAAAATTTATTACTAGTCCTTGCCTTGTATTCGAAATGCTATTTATCATTTTTATCAAACTCATTCCTTTCATAACTCTCAATCTTTTCCATTTGTCAGAACTGACCCAAAATTTTTAACAATCTCAATCATACAAAGTTATTATAATGGAACATTTCACTATCCTTATTGGAAATTAAATATTGCAAATTAAGATGTGCATACGAACATTCGGGGAATGTAATATTCTACGCATTGATAATATCCTCTCTAATCAAAGTACAGGATAAACTACGCTGCTGTACTACTGTATGAAGATGAATTAGAAATTGGAAGTATTGTGGATGGATTTCTGAAAACTTTGATGACTTGAATTAGGTAGCATTCTATCGCATGAAATGCATTTTGTGGACAAAAGGAGGAGAAAATTAAAGGAAGAACGCTACGTAATGCAACTTGAGAAAAACATTATTCCCAGTGACAAAGAAAATGTTTTTAAATTATTCGATGGACTACGGTGTAACATTTCATCACTCGTCGTTTTTGAAAAATTTTGGCACTTTGATTCCGTTCCTTTTTTTCCTACCTCTGATTGTTGAAGCGCTAAAAATTGCCATTAAACTAAAAAAAATTTTAAATGCATTGAAGAAATCTCGAAGCTCCGACTTCTATGGGTTTATTATTTCAGTGCATTTCTACCAGTAGGATTGAAATAAATAGAAGGAAGAGTTATCTAAGTCATTCATTAGTTTTTTGCTATAAAGCTAACTTGTTTTATTGTTGAAATTTTGGAACTTTATTTTGCTTGACTATTAAAGAAATGGAGCATGATTCTTTTGATCTTTTAATGCAGTACGGTTTCAATCATGTAAGCATAAGTTTTCACGGCGAAAACTTCTAAAATATTCACGAATAAAATGAAATACATTTGAAGTGCGATCAGTTTTCGATTTGAATTTAAGATATCTTGTGCAAGCGC